GCCCTATCTCAAAAATAAATAATTAAATAAGCCAGTAACAAAAAAAACACATATTGTACAATTCCACTTATATGAGGCATTAAAGTGGTCAAACTCATAGAGACAGAAAGTAGAATGGTGGATGCCAGGGTTGGGAGGAGGGGGAAAAGGGAGTTATTATTCGATGTAGACAGAGCTTCAGTTTTACAAGATGAAAAAGTGCCACAGAACATCTGTTGCACATGGCCAGGCGCAGTGGCTCACACCTGTAATCCCAGCACTTTGGGAGGCCAAGGCAGGTGGATCACTTGAGGTCAGGAGTTTGAGACCAGCCTGACCAACATGGTGAAACCCTGTCTTTATTAAAAATACAAAAATTAGCTGGGCGTGGTGGTGGGCACCTGTAATCCCAGCTATTTGGGAGGCTGAGGCAGGCGAACTGCTTAAACCCGGGAGATGGAGGTTGCAGTGAGCCGAGATCGCGCCACTACACTCCAGCCTGGGCAACAAGAGCAAAACTCCGTCTCAAAACAAACAAAAAAACAAAACTGTTGCACAATAATATGAATATAGTTAACACTAGCAAATTGTACAATCAAAATTGGGGGTAAATGTCAGGTTATGTGTTTTGTTTTTTTTTTGTTTTTTCTGAGACGGAAATCTTGCTTTGTTGTCCAGGCTAGAGTGCAGTGGCGCAATCTCGGCTCACTGCCAGCTCCACCTCCCAGGTTCACGCCGTTCTCCTGCCTCAGCCTCTTGAGGACTACAGGTGCCCACCACCATGCCCAGCTAATTTTTTGTATTTTTAGTAGAGACAGGGTTTCACCGTGTTAGCCAGGATGGTCTCAATCTCCTGACCTCGTGATTCACCTGCCTCGGCCTCCCAAAGTGCTGGGATTACAGGTGTGAGCCACCGCGCCGGGCCAGGTTATGTATTTTTTTTAAATCACAATTTAAAATTTAAAAATAAAGGTTTTTTTTTTTTTTTTGAGACAGAGTTTCGTTCTTATTGCCCAGGCTAGAGTGCAATGCCAACATCTTGGCTCACTGCAACCTCCGCCTCCCAGGTTCAAGTGATTCTCCTGTCTCAGCTTCCCAAGTAGCTGGGATTACAGGCATGCGCCACCATGCCTGGCTAATTTTGTATTTTAGTATAGATGGGGTTTCACCATGTTGGCCAGGCTGGTTTCAAACCCCTGACCTCAGGTGATCCACTGCCTGTCCTCAGGTGATCTGGCCTCCCAAAGTGCTGAGATTACAGGTGTAAGCCACCATGCCTGGCCAAAAAAAAAAGGTTTTTAAATGCTTAAGCAAATTGGGAATTATATGGTATTTGGTTTGTTACCTCCAGCTTTCATGAATTTATGTAATATTTCATAACAATATTGTAGCCAGGCAGAGCGGCTTGTATGTGTAATCCCACCTACTTGGAAGGCTGACACAGGAGGAGTGCTTGAGCCCAGGAGTTGGAGGCTGAAGTAAGCTATGATTGCACCACTGCACTCCAGTCTGGGCAACAGATACTCTAAAATAGATAATAAATATGTTAAAAAAAATTTTAAGTAGCTATTTTTTGTTTGTTTGTATTTGAGATGGAGTCTCACTCTGTCACCTAGGCTGGAGTGCAGTGGCGTGATCTCAGCTCACTGCAACCTCCACCTCCTGGGTTCAAGGGATTCTCATGCCTCAGCCTCCCAAGTAGTTGGGATCACAGGAATGCGTCACCACGCCCAGATAATTTTTGTATTTTTAGTAGAGATGGGTTTTGCCATGGTGGCCAGGCTGGTCTTGAACTGCTGGGACTCAAGTGATCCACCTGCCTCAGCCTCCCAAACTGCTGCAATCTGCCTAAAGTAGCTATTTTTTAATGGATAGATTTCTGTACTTTTCAGGCCTAACATGAAAACAGTACAGAATTTTGCTCTGTGTTCCTTTGGGCATTCAATATCAAAGTTTCTCACTTGCTTGTAAAAAAATCAGGAGTCCATTACATAATTGTATTGAAATAGCCAAATGTGAAATATAAAGGAATTGACAAATCAGAGATTAATGCCACATTTTAAACATCACCAAATAATGTCAAGAAAACAACTATGAACTTTTAATTGGAACCACAGTTTTCTCACAGATTTTCATTAAAAGGCATCTAGCCAAGTAAAATCACTTAGATCTCAGAATCAATCCCCCTTTGTTTCTTTTGAAGGAACTGCCAGGGCAAATACCATTTGCCTATGGAGATGAAATACAGTACTCTACTGTCTTTTTGCTTTGTGTTTCAAGGCTGTCACAAAATTTCTTTTTTCCAGTTGAACAAAAGAGAAAATTGCATTTTCGTCACTGAACAAACACTTATTGAGCACAGTGCCTACTGTGCCAGATTACCAAATTCTTGATCTTAAGTTACCAAATTACCTACTTTGGGAAAACACTGAACCAGGAGCCTGTATGACTGACTATAAGTTCCGGCAACTGCTAGAACTTCCCAGTGAAGTCATTATACCAGTCATGAGATCTGCCTTCTAGCTCATTCTTCGATCAACATGTATGATTCAGGAGGAGCTGCTTGTTGGTGAAACAAATTTCAGAATCACTGTTAGGCTAACAAAAAGGAAAATCCATACTTTGTATAATCAAATAAACGTTTTATAAACCACCTCCCAAGTCGTTCAAAATCACTTCCAAAATTATCTTAAACTGTTTATTTCTATCTCCTGCTTATTCACGTCAGGAGACAGTAGATCCTGGTTTTACTTAATTTAACTGAAAGCTGTCTAGGTGTTAACTCATATACCAGCTCATTTGTCGACAGCTTCCCAACGTTATGATCAGGTATGTTGAATTTAGTAATTAGAGACCTTTCTAAGTGATGTTTACTTAATTGTATTAATATGCACATTTCTAGACTACTTCTTACATTATGAAGGTTGGTATCACGTGAAAAACAGGCAATTTCATGTTTACTTCCACCCCACCCCCGTGACTCTGCCAGGCACCAGGATCCAAACACATCTGCCTTACTCACCCTCCTTGGGTTATCTCCTTGCAGGACGAGTGGCCACACCCAGGGTGTAGGGAAACCCGTCACTTGGTCCTAGCTGGTTAACCCCACCCTTGCACAACAAGCACGTCAATGGGAGCAGTATCAGCTACTTTCTTATAGGTGAATTACCGTTTCTTGAAATGGGGTTTCGGCTCCCTAATCTGCACTTTTTTTTCTTACCAGTTTGGAGAAACAACAGGGAAGGACTGGATTTGCAGGTATTGCAGGAGCCAGAGAGAAGCCCAGCCACTGTCACCCTGGACTCTAGCCTCGCCTCTCTGGGCCTGGTGGTGAGGGGCTTCAGCAACAGGTGCCCGGGCCCTGCCGAGGGTCCCACTCTGAACTCCAGATTTACAGACTGTCCTAGGGCCGTGATGAGGATTAAGACAACACAATTAAGAGCACTCTGACTACAGAAGCATGATTTAAAGCTCCACAACCCTGCAATAACCATGAACAAAAATAAAAAATGGCTAGTCCGCCAGGCACGGTGGTTCATGCCTGTAATCCTAGCACTTTGGGAGCCCGAGGGAGGCAGATCTCTTGAGCCCAAGAGTTCAATAACAGCATGGGTAACATAGCAAGACTCTGATCTACCAAAAAAAAAAAAATCAAAAAAATTAGACCGGGCACGGTGGCTCACACCTGTAATCCCAGCACTTTGGGAGGCCGAGGCAGACAGATCACCTGAGGTCAGGAGTTCAAGACCAGCCTGACCAACATGGTGAAACCCCACCTGTACTGAAAAATACAAAAATTAGCCGGGCATGGTGGCAAGCACTTGTAATCCCAGCTACTCAGGAAGCTGAGGCAGGAGAATCGCTTGAATCAGGGAGGCGGAGGTTGCAGTGAGCCACATCATGCCACTGGCCTTCAGGTTGGGTGACAGAGCGAGTCTCTGTCTCAAAAAATAAATACAAAATTTAAAAGCCAGGCGTGTTCCACACCTGTGGTCCCAGCTGCTTGGGAGGCTGAGGTGGAGGATAACTTGAACCCTGGAGGTCGAGGCTGCAGTGAGCAATGATCACGCCACTGCACTCCAGCATGCGGGACAGAGCCAGACTTTGTCTCAAAAAAGCAAAAACAACTGGCCAGTGTATGAGGGGCTCGCGTTGTTTGTTTGTTGAGACGGAGTCTCGCTCTGTCGCCAGGCTGGAGTGCAGTGGCGCGATCTCGGCTTACTGCAATCTCTGCCTCCTGGGTTCAAGCAATTATCTGCCTCAGCCTCCCAAGTAGCTGGGATTACAGGCGCCTGCCACCACGCCAGGCTAATTTTTAAAACATTTTTAGTAGAGATAGGGTTTCACCATCTTGGCCAGGCTGGTCTTGAACTCCTGACCTCGTGATCCACCCGCCTCGGCCTCCCAAAGTGCTGGGATTACAGGCGTGAGCCCCCGCGCCCGACCAGGGGCGCGTGTTTTTTAAAACATGGGACAGGGAACTGTGCTTCACAATCACCACCAGGTGTCGCGACATCAGGTGCCATGCCGTCCCGCTTCTGAGGCACGGCGGCCCACTCTGGGAGGCCGAGGCGGGTGGATTACCTGAGGTACGGAGTTCGAGACCAGCCTGTCCAACATGGTGAAACCCCGTCTCTACTAAACATACAAAAAATTAGCCAGACGTGGTGGCGCATGCCTGTAATCCCAGCTACTCGGGAGGCTGAGGCAGGAGAATCACTTGAACCCGGGAGGCGGAGGTTGCGGTGAGCCGAGATCGCGCCATTGCACTCCAGCCTGGGAAACAAGAGCGAAACTCCCTCTCAGTAAAAAAAAAAAAAGAAAAAAAAAGGAAAAAAAACAAACACCCTCCTCCTTCTCCCGCCGGAAATACCCTCTTTCAGGAAGGCGCGCCCGTGCGGCGCACGCGCACTCAGTTACTTAGCAACGTCGGCGCTAAACCACCCCAGGCAGAGCCCAGCAACAATAGAGTCACTGCGTCCCCCACCAATCAGCGCCGATCTCGCCTTCGCATACCTAACCAATCAGTGCCGGCGCTGCAAGGAAGTTTCCAGAGCTTTCGAGGAAGGTTTCTTTAACTCGAATTCATCCGCCCTATAATTTTCTTATATTTTCCTAAAGAAGGAAGAGAAGCGCATAGAGAAGAAGGGACATAATTTGTTGGGATCCTTCCTTACGGCTATGAGGAATTTGTGGCTCAGTTGAAAAGCCTAAACTACGTCTCGGGAGTTTGGGCGCGGAGAACTACTTTCAGTGGCGCACGGAGACGGCGTCTACGTAAGAAGTGATAAGTAACGCAACACACGTTGTATAAATTTGCGCTCCGCCAAACGGGAGCATTCAGGGGCGGCCGGCTTTGTTGGGTGTGCTTGGTTTGGTGTCCCTGCGGCTGACCGTGATTGGTGATTCGCAGCATCTTCGTAACCGCTAACAGGTACTGTCCCGCTGCCATTACGACCTCCGGTGGCGTGAGGGGGGGAATGGGTGAAGTCAAGCTGGAGGCTTTTTGGGGTTGGGTGGGCCGCTGAGGGGAGGGCGTGGGGGAGGGGAGGGCGAGGTGACGCGGTGCCGGGCCTTTCTGGGAGAGAGGGCCTTGTTGACCTGAGGGGGGCGAGGGCGGTTACCGCGCGCGCGGGCGCGCGCCGAGGGAAACTGAAGGACGCTTAACCGACGGCGATTTCCTCGCGTTTACTTCGGGGGAAGGCGGAAAAGAGGTAGTTTGTGTGGCTTTTGGAAACCTTTACTTAAGAAAGGTGCCCCTTGTGTTTCAATGGGATTTTTACTTCGCGAGTCTTGTGGGTTCGGTTTTGTTTTCAGTTTACCTAACACTGTGCTTAGGTTTGAGGCGGATTGGAGTTCGGTCGGGGGAGTTTGAATATCCGGAACTGTTAGTGGAGAAAGCTGTGGACGCCTTGTTAGAGAGTGCTTTGAATTCTCCGCGGTTGACGTTGAAACCTTGAGTGACGAATTTCATATTAAGTGACTTAGTCTGGTATAAATGAGGGGAGATTTGCGGAATGTTAACGTGTTTAAGGCATTTTGAAGGAATAGTTGCTAACTTTGAAGCTTATTAGATGAAGCAAGAATTCTTGAAGCAAGAAATACAATAATCTTGAGATGACACGCTTATGTTTTACTTTTAAACTAGGTCAAAATGCAGATCTTCGTGAAGACCCTGACCGGCAAGACCATCACCCTTGAGGTGGAGCCCAGTGACACCATCGAAAATGTGAAGGCCAAAATCCAGGATAAGGAAGGCATTCCCCCCGACCAGCAGAGGCTCATCTTTGCAGGCAAGCAGCTGGAAGATGGCCGCACTCTTTCTGACTACAACATCCAGAAAGAGTCGACCCTGCACCTTGTCCTGCGCCTGAGAGGTGGTATGCAGATCTTCGTGAAGACCCTGACCGGCAAGACCATCACCCTGGAAGTGGAGCCCAGTGACACCATCGAAAATGTGAAGGCCAAGATCCAGGATAAAGAAGGCATCCCTCCCGACCAGCAGAGGCTCATCTTTGCAGGCAAGCAGCTGGAAGATGGCCGCACTCTTTCTGACTACAACATCCAGAAGGAGTCGACCCTGCACCTGGTCCTGCGCCTGAGAGGTGGTATGCAGATCTTCGTGAAAACCCTGACCGGCAAGACCATCACCCTGGAGGTGGAGCCCAGTGACACCATCGAAAATGTGAAGGCCAAGATCCAAGATAAAGAAGGCATCCCCCCCGACCAGCAGAGGCTCATCTTTGCAGGCAAGCAGCTGGAAGATGGCCGCACTCTTTCTGACTACAACATCCAGAAGGAGTCAACCCTGCACCTGGTCCTGCGCCTGAGGGGTGGCTGTTAATTCTTAAGTCTTGCGTTTGCAGTGCCCAGTGATGGCATTACTCTGCACTATAGCCATTTGCCCCAACTTAAGTTTAGAAATTACAAGTTTCAGTAATAGCTGAACCTGTTCAAAATGTTAATAAAGGTTTCGTTGCATGGTAGCATACTTGGTGTTTTGTCATGAAATTCTGTAGTGATGTGTGGGTACACTTAAAACTAGTGAAAATGTCGAGGGGGAGGGATTTAATTTTGAGATTGGTATTGTGCCCAAAGTGAAGTCACTTGACTCTAGAGTTGGGTGAGCTGAGGGGTAAGAGCTTTCTTTGCTGTAAGTCATTACAAGTTAGGATCCTGGATTAATGGCGAACTTTCTGAAGCTCGAATTTAAAGTCTGTTGGGAGGCCGAGGCGGGCGCATCACGAAATCGAGACTATCCTGGCTAAGATGGTGAAACCCTGTCTACTTAAAAAAATTAGCTGGGCGTGGTGTCGCGTTCCTGTAGTTCCAGCTACTTGGGAGGCTGAGGCAGGAGAATCACTTGAACCTGGGAGGCAGAGGTTGTAGTGAGCCGAGCTCGTGCCACTGCACCCCAGCCTGGTGACAGAGCAACACTCCATCTCAAAAAGTTGGATAGGCAGGCTTTTTTTAAAAGAGGGTCTTGCTCTGTAGTCCAGACTGGTGTACGGTGGTACATTGATAGCTCACTATCATTCCTGGGCTCAAGTGATTGCAGGCATTTTCTTTACATTGAAGGAAAGCAAATGTGCTTGCCTAGACCTAATCAAAGATGGCCGGAGAAATAAAGTTTTGACGCTGCTTGAATAGTGGTAACTGCTTTCAATTCTGCAATTACTGAGTGACTATCGGTTGTGTGTTTATTGCTCTGTAGTGTATTACAGCAAAGTGTTTAACCTGGGTAGTAATACGGGACCATTAATGTCTCTGCTGTGTATGTTTTAACTGATGAGCCAAGAAAGCAGCTAATCAGAGTATGGAAGAAGACTGGCTGTGGAGAAAGATGGCTTGCAGGTACTTAATGTTTAAAACGGTATCCTGATCTAAGACAATCTTCCTGATTTGATGAATTAGGTGACAAATTAGAGTGGTTCCTCACACTTTTTTTTAAACTCACAATCTTACTCTTGCCCCAGACTGGAGTGCAATGGTGCGATCTCGGCTCACTGCAACCTCCACCTCCCAGGTTCAAGCAGTTCGCGTGCCTCAGCCCCCCACATAGCTGGGGACTACAGGGGCACACCAGCTAATTTGTGTATTTTCAGTAGAGATGGGGTTTTACCATGTTGACCAGGTTGGTCTCAGACTTCTGGCTTCAAGTGATCCGCCCACCTTGGCCTCCCAAAGTGCCTGGATTATAGGCATGAGCCACCACACCTGGCCACACTGTTCTTAAGGACTAACAGCTTAACTTTATTGTGAAAAGATTGCAACAACAAATGAGATTTTACCTGTATTTGGTAAAAATGCTTATCCTTGTCTCAGTCTGGCAACATAAGCAGTTCTTAGGCTTCTATGCCAATGGATACCAGGCAGTAATACATGCACAGTGCTAATAGAAAATATTTGAGGGAGTAAGGGTGTACTAAGGAAGTTCTCAATCCTCCCCCTTCACTATCTTCTGTAATATAACTTCAGTAAATGTGATTTTTGGCACAAAATTGGGAGTGGTTGTGGGGAGCCCTGTTTGGTTTTTTCAGGTTTATAGTAGAGAAATAACATTTTCTGGTACTAAAACTGGCATGGTTTAAGCGCATACTTAGGACTTTAAATCACTGGCCAGTTAATCTCTAGTTAGTGGTTTGGCATGCAAAAAGTACCCATGGGTATATTACACAAATGCAGGAATAGCGTATCTATAAATACGCCTTTGATATTCATGGTGTACCTGAGAATGGTTTCACGCATAATTTTAGGTAATCTGCCTTAGTCACTCTGGTTTTACCGTTCTTTGCCCACAGTTCCTGTCTCATAACTTCTATAGCCCTTGTTATAGTCATGTTGGGTGTGTGAGGCCACAGGAAACTCACCTAACTTGTGCCCTTTTACCTTCCCTAAGACAGGACTCCTAATCTTCCCCTACCTTTCTGTGAGTCCTAAGACCCCCATTTCAGAGAGGGTTCTGTCCTATACCCTGGGGAAAGGAATGCTGTCATCGTGAAGCCTCCCTAGAAAACCAAGAGGACTGAGTTTGGATATCTGAACACATGGAGGTTCCTGGAGGATGGCACACCCAGGCAAGGCATTAAAGCTTTGCACCCCTTCCCCCATACCTTGTCCTATGCATCTCTTCATCTGAGTCCTTTGTAATACCTTTATAATAAACCAGTCAACGTGGCCAGGCATGGTGGCTTATGCCTATAATCCCAGCACTTTGGGAGGTGGAGGCGGGAGGATCATTTGAGGCTAGAGCTTGAGGCCAGACTAGGCAATTGGCTGTTTACCAAAAAAAAAAAAAAGTTTAAATGGGCATGGTGGCATATGCCTGTAGTCCTAGCTACTTGGGAAGCTGAGGTGGAAGGATTGCTTGAGTTTAGGAGTTCCAGGTCAGCCTAACATAGCAAGATCTTGTCACTAAAAACCTAGCTCTTCAAACCTGGAAAATTAGAACATTTCACTGAATACCTAAAAACTATTATCTGGGGCAATAGGGCTTAAAAATACTGTGCAGTCATTTCTCCCAAAGCATCGCTGTCTGACACGATAGGCTCATAGGTCTGTAGTCTGGTGAATCCTTCAGAAGAAGATTCAGCTATTGCTCTTTAGTTCTCTTTTGGAATATCTTCTTTTCTTTTTTTGGGGGGGGGGGAATCAATCTTATTTTCTGTAGAAATCCCCCTCTAAGTAATTCATGGATCTCAGCAAATTCAGTCTGCACACAAATGAATTTGAGCAATTTTGAGACAGAGTCTCACTCTGTAGACCAAGCCAGAGTGCAGTGGCACGATCTTGGCTCACTGCAACCTCCGCCTCCCAGGTTCAAGCAATTCTTGTGCCTCAGCCTCCTGAGTAACGGATTACAAGAGTGGTCACCACACCTGGTTAATTTTTTTTTTTTTTTTTTTTTTTTTTTTTGAGACGGAGTCTCGCTCTGTCACCCAGGCTGGAGTGCAGTGGCCGGATCTCAGCTCACTGCAAGCTCCTCCTCTCGGGTTCACGCCATTCTCCTGCCTCAGCCTCCCGAGTAGCTGGGACTACAGGCACCCGCCACTTCGCCCGGCTAGTTTTTTGTATTTTTAGTAGAGATGGGGTTTCACCTATGTTAACCAGGATGGTCTCGATCTCCTGACCTCGTGATCCGCCCATCTCGGCCTCCCAAAGTGCTGGGATTACAGGCTTGAGCCACCGCGCCCGGCCAATTTTTGTATTTTTTAATAAAGACAGAGGGTCACCATGTTGGCCAGGCTGGTCTTGAACTCCTGACTTCAGGTGATCCACCTGCCTCGGCCCCCCAAAGTGCTGTGATCGCAGGCATGAGCCACCGCACCTGGCCAGGGAAAGGCTCTTTAAATATGTGTTGGAGGCCTGGTCTATGGCCTGATGCCAGTCCAAAATAGTTTTTGTCAGCTCTCAGGTAAATAAAAATGATAACAGCGGCCAGGTGTGGTGGTTCATGCCTGTAATTGCAGCACTTTGGGAGGACGGGGTGCGGGGGTGTGGGGGGCGTGCGGATCACGAGGCCAGGAGTTCGAGACCAGCCTGACCTACATGGTGAAACCCCGTCTTTACTAAAAATACAAAAAATTAGGTGGATGTGGTGTCGCGCGCCTGTAATCCCAGCTACTCAGAAGTGTGAGGCAGGATAATTACTTGAACCCAGGAGGCAGAGATTTCAGTGAGACATGTCCTCTGTAAAAATGTTGTGGTCTAATGGTTTAGTGTGGCTCTGGATACAAGACTTCTTGAGTCAAATCTGGCTAACTACTTACAAGCTTGTAACGCTGGGCAACTAATTTATCCTGTCAGTACATCAAATTCCTCATCTATAAAAATTGGGTTAATTACACCTGTCTCAGAGTAGTTATAATTACATGTGAAGTACTTAAAACAATGTTAAAAACTTGGCCAGGTGAGGTGACTCATGCCTGTAGTCCCAACTACTTGGAAAACAAGCAGAATGGCTTGAGCCCAGGACAGGGCTGCAGTGAGTTACGGGTAATGCCACTGCACTGCACTCCAGCCTGGGCAACAGAATGAAACCCTGTCTCTAAAAACAAAACCAAAAACCCCACACACTTGCATAGTGCTTAATATGCTATTTTTTGTAATAAAATTACCAATCAAAAAGAGATGATAGGTTGGGTGCTGTGGCTCACACCTGTGTAATCTTAGCACTTTAGGAGCCCGAGGTGGGAGGATCGCTTGAACCTGGTAGTTTGAGATCAGCCTGGCGACATAGTAAGAACTCATCTCTACAAAAAATAAAATAAAACAATAATAATAAGGCAGGAGGATCACAGCAACGAGGTTAAGACTGTAATGAGCTGTGATCTTGCCACTGCACTCCAGCCTGGGTGATGGGAATGAGACCCTATCTAAAAAAAAAAAAAAAAAAAGGTGGTAATGCAATAAGTAAACTGAATGAAGGTGATGGGAACTTCATGGGGCAATATCCAATAGAGTAAAAATTGCTATAGGAAAAAAATATGCCTAAGCACAAAGACGGGTGGGCCACTGTTAACAATGGTTGCTTCAGGAGAATAGAGGAGTAGTTTTAAAGGCAGGCATATTTCAGCTCCTCTCTAGATATTCTTAAATTTGGCACCCACATAACATAAGCATTGTTCACAAGTACCCCATGTTTAACAGCCAGCAATGTAACTCAGCCCTGAAGTCAGACTGTGTTTCTGAATTGGATAGAGTAGACATTTTGCACGAGTCTCTGGTTCAATCTCTATCACTCCTATAGGGCCTCTAGAAACTCTATCTCATGAGACTTCCTGAACCTCAACATACTTTATTTAAGCTATACCTTATTCATTCCTCAAAGAATCTGAGGGGGCAATTCATGACTCCATTTTAATCGGGCCCAGCTAACTCTAAATGGAAGCTTTAGATCCATGTTGGGTTCTGGGAAAGGACCTTATACTTAGTGCAGCAATAATTACTTAGTGATATAAGTACTTAGTTTCCTTAGTCCAACAATAAGTA